TTAGCGAGCACCTATGAAGGCCAGAACGGTACACGCACGGGGGTGTGTGGCCAGCACCACGCCCGACCGCCTTTGTCTCCCCAGCGGCGATGTTTACACACCGCACCAACTACTCATGTGAGGTTGAGTCGATTGGGGAGAGGCTCAAAACGCGGTTCAGATAATCGTCACCGATGTTGGCCGTGAGCGAGAATCGAACTCGGGTTCACCATGGTCCATACCGCAGCGTAGCGCCAACAGCTGCACTGCCGCTCCTCGGCACACATCAGCGCACCCACACACACCCACACGCACCCACACACACCCACACGCACCCACACACACACACCCACACACACCCACACACACCCACACGCACACACACACACACACACCCACACACACCCACACACCCACCCACCCACACGCACCCACACACACCCACACGCACCCACCCACACACACGCACCCACACACACCCACACCCACCCACCCACACGCACCCACACACACCCACACACACCCACCCACCCACACGCACCCACACAGACCCACACGCACCCACACACACCCATACGCACCCACACACACGAACCCACACACACCCACACGCACGCACCCACCCACCCACACACCCACACACACACACCCACACTCACCCACACGCACCCACACACACCCACACGCACCCACACACACCCACACACACCCACACTCTCACACACACTCCCACACACACCCGCACACACACCCACGCACGTTCATCCAATCCTGTGCGCGCGCTGTGGGAGCACAGGGGATCCGTGAGTTGAGTTATTCGACGTGCCTTATGGGGGGGGGGGGGGGGTGTGGAAGGGAGAGGTGGTGGTAGGGGTGGCGAAAATATAGCTCGCGTGAATCGGGGGGGGGGGGGGTCGAACGAGGACTGATGTTCAGAGCGCCTTCTCTGCGCCTCTATCCCAGTTGCTAAATCGCACTTAGCCCCGTGTCAGCAAATCCGTCTCGATGCCGAAACACGCCCGACGCGAATTCGATCCGCGCTCCGATATCAAACGCCGACCGCTGCGCGTCGCGCTCACTCTCGCACGACCGTCTCGTGGTCGTGCTCGCTGGCACCTTGCCCGTCGCGTGCCGGGGCAAACTCGCGCATTGCACCGCTTGTTGTTTTATTGTTGGTGTTGTTGTTGTTGGGCGCAGCATGATGTCCGACGTTTCGCTGCACGAAAAAAAAAATCGTCCAGATTCAGTAGAGTTTTGTTTGTTGTTGCTGTTGTTGTTGAAGGAACACCCAGCAAAACGTTGTCGGCAAACGTCGTCAGGGCATCTCGCCGAAACAAACAAAAAATCCCGAAGAAGCTTCCGGCACGTGACGCGAAACGTCGGGCATAATGCCGGACAACAGGCGGTGCAACCGGACAACACATACGAGAGATCCTTGTTTGTTTTGCTCGTAGTCAAATGGTGGTCAGTGGTGGAAGTTCCACACTGATGTGGTTGGTGGCGACCGGTTTTCGTCTGTCACAACAGACATCGCTCTATTTGTGGAACCAACGCTGGATTCAGGCCTCTTCCACGCCGTGTCGGTCATGGGGGTTGTTGGGTCAGCAAGGGTTCGTGAAGAGAACAGGGCGCGGAAGGCTCGTGGCGGTTTCAGATGTCACTCGCCACCGATGCATAACCCTGGTCGGGAATCGAACTCGGGTTACCGAGTTACACAGCGCAATGGCCTTGGCGCTGCGCCAGAACCAATTCGAGTGATTACGCGGATTCGTACTTTTTGTACCCATGAATGTATCGCTCAGTCTGAACCCTTGCCTCCAAAGCCACGGATCGCTGACGTGCTCATCATCATCATCGTCGTAGTCACTTGCCCGAGGTCGATAACATGAGCACCGCTTAGTTGGGCTGCAGCGCCGGCCATGAGAGAGGGGTGCCGCTCGCCGTAACAAGAACGTGGAATTTCCACCACCGACGCTTATTGAATCGACAACACGCACATGCAACACGGACAAGCCGCTGGGGTTGCTGCGATATCATTTTTTCACGACACGATATCAATGTTCACGATATGACGATCATCGCGATATCAGTTGCCCATAATGTTGCACTTGCATTGAGCATTTGGATTGTAATATTTCTTTGCTGGGTCGCACTTCCCCGTCCGAATTGAAAACGCAGTAAGCGTGGCAACGTCGGTTCTACGTTGGGCCAACGTTCAGAGTTTACTGGGATATTTATTAAACGTTCCTCAACCGTACCTTACTCAACACAAGCCTGCTTTTAGTCCGATACCAATCGCAAACGTGTAATAATCCATAGCGCATAAAAGCGCAACGATCATTCATTAGTTTGGTTCCTGCAATAGCCTCGGGTTTACTTTAGATCGCGATCAAGGGCCCCAACGCACGTGTACGGGACGACAGAGACACTGATTTAGAACGCGAATGACCGCCCTTTGTTATTTTCGCCAACATTTTGTCAGAAAAGAACACATTTTTAAACGAGATATAGAACGAGCAACGGGATTTTGGTACGACACGATTATCGTTCGAGACGATTATCGTTCGATACGATTATCGTTCGATACGATTATCGTACGCTTGAACCAATGGCATCAGCCCGCGTGGCAACGTGCTCGGTGGATTATTGATTGCATCGCAGGATCGTGAGAGATGCCGATAGCATGGGCTAGGATAGGCGGGGCATTCATCCAGCAGTGGATTGATCACGGGTGCTGCATCAGCAGCCGTCCGAATAGAAGACGCAGTAAGCGTGCCAATGTCGGGTCAACGTTGGGCCAACGTTCATAGTTTACCGGGATATTTCTGCATCAGAAGCAGCATCTGCAGCAGTTACTGCTGCTTCTATTGCTGCTGCGTGATTATGATGATGGAAATGGTGATGATTATTGATTTCGTGGGACATCACAATATCGCGGCAACCCTACAAATCTGCAGAACCCAATTGCCACTCAGAGTGTAAGGGTGGGGGGGGGGCGGAGAGGAATACAAATAAATTACACACGAGCAGAGAGAGGCGTCACCAAAACGACAAGCGTCTCCACTCTAGCAAAATTTAAAAACAAATAGCAAACAACAACAACAGAAACTATAATGCCACGAGTCTGCCAAGGCAGTCGCGCTCCGCGGCGCACGTTCGCGTGCCAAGAGGCCCCCAGGGGTAACGGAACCTCGACGAGTCGCTGAACAATGACGGCTGCTGCCCGTTCATCCCCAAGAGTGGACCAGGGCGATCCACCTATAGATACCCCGCCCATGTGTTGACGGTAAAGAAGCACAAAACAAGAAAGCGGAACTCCGCTGTGCCTGCCCAAATATAAATAATGATGATGATGATTACAAAAATCTGTGTGAATTTAGAATATCTACCCTACCTACTGGCTTTCCACAATTTAGGTTTTTTTAAAATCATTTTGTTTGAAATTTTCACTGGATTCACGCTTCTGGAAGACGTGCAGAGTAGATTATCTGGACTCAAAATGCTCCTTCCCTCTGCAACGTGTCCACCGATGTGTGAGTGAGGTATCTACAAACGGATCAACCTCCGTATACTGCATATACTGTCTGCTCGAACCTCTCCGATGTACTAAAAGTAATGCCACTTTCACACGAAACGAGGACACCAGCGGCGACGAGCGCGTGCCCCCAGGACCGCCGAGGTGGCGACGTTCGCGTGCGATGGTTCAACGCGGTCGGCCTAGTAGCTTCAACGCAGCGTGTGTCAAAACGTTGGGGACACAATACCGTCTGCTGCTGCCTGCTGGGCTTGATGATTTATCGTTCGCTGGGGGGGGGGTGAGTTAAACTCAGATAATTTCTGAATATTCCCGAAAATTCATTACAAAAGTGGCACCTTTTGAAACAAAAAAACACAAAACAGGGAACGTTCACCCCCCCCCCCCCACCTCCCACCCCCCCCCCCCCCCCCGTTTAGGAATGCAGCCTTGAAATTATCTCCACCTTGTCCAGCGGCCGGGTCTTGAAGGCCCCGAGGAGACCATCGTCTACACAGGCACAGATAAAGGCGCAGCCCTGCAATGACCCGCTCACGAAACCGCTCGCGCAGAAAGGGTCTCAAGCCAGAGGGAGCTCTGGAGAGAGAGCCTCTCGCAAAGGGGTCTATTTGGCCTCCTCTTACGCGCTGGCCAGACGTCTTGGAGGAAGCAGAAGCGCCCACACTTTACCCCACTGCACGCGACCTCGCGGTGGCACTCAATGATGCGCGGGCGGAGAGGCAGGGCGGGGGGGAGCGGGGGGGGGGGTGGTGATTTAACATTGCACGTACATTTGTTTCAGATATTACGCATACTTCTACTACATCTGCTCACGAAAGGTGAGAGCCATCGATTCCTGTACGATGCAATGGAATGGCGAAACAAGGGTCTCCGGTAAGGGCGACCAGGCGAGAACTGCGATGTCGGTATCGGAGGGCATCGCCGAGCTCGGCTCCTTATCTTTATTTAGACTGCAGCAGGAATCCGATGAGCCGTGAAGCTCTTTTACGCAGACGTCCAGCAGTGGACGCCGGGGGGGGGGGGGGGGTCTGCATCCCGAGCGTTGGAAACGCGGCGCGCGGGTGAAGGCAGTGCGGGTGACGTTCAGTGCAATTGCTTAGTCAGTTTAAGGCACATTGTTTGAAACAAAATAAGATTACATTCACTCCATGACAGTGATGTGACAGTCCTTTGTCAATCCACTGCTGGACGAAGGCCTCCCCACGCCGTGCCAAGTCGTGCGGCCTACGTGACCATACTTCACCTCGCCGGTAAGTGCCGATTGGTCAAGAGGGCGAAGGGCACCAAGAACCGGTTCAGGGATCAACTCGCCACTGCCCCCCCCTCCGCTCTCTTTTCACAATCATTGAAAAAATGACGTGCTATGAAGAATGGCCATTTCCAGAAACGTCGCCTATGAGGGCACAGTACTATTGACGCATGCGTTGAGCTTTTTTGAAATCTGGGATTATTTCGCAGCAAAAAAAACAAACCCAGTTCCGATGATGAATGGAGTGGACCGTGTTTAATGCCCAACAGAGACTGTCCAAGTCTCTCCGTCTCTCGAGACTTCCCACGTGTTCACACGATCACTCGAGACCCATGGCCGAGCGCGTCTCAAACTCTAGCGGCCGCGGTTCCGCAGCGGGATGCGCCTCTGCGCGTCTAACAATCATCCGGCGCGCGCTAGGGGCGCGCTGCAACGCAATTCGCAATTGGGAATCGATCAAACTAAGTGCGAACGAGAGAAGTATTATTGGCAAAATCGTCAACGGGCCGAGTCGTGGTCCGGTGTTGGGTGGGCACCTCTTCGTTTTTAACGAAATGACGTTCAGACAAACACTGCAACTCACAGAGGCCCACGGGGCAGCAGCAGACAGACAGACAGAGAGAGAGACAAAGTCGCGTCTTCGTCGTCTCTTCGACACAAAAAACGACGCGAAAAGCCCCAAGCGCCGGACTCGCTCACGCCTCGCCACAACGCGACCCCCGTCCCTCCCGTCACGCCGAGCGAGTGCCCAACCTCAGCCCGGAATAAGTCCGGAACACTGGTACAGAAATAATATTCGCACGCCGCCACGTCCACCCAACGAACCCGCTCTTATAAAACCTATTTAATAGGATTATGGCAAATATAGGGTAAAACAGAATGAGGATTTTTAAAATATATATCGATGGGTGTATACTGCATTCTAGTGGTAGTGCCTTACGCCGATGAGGCGTAAATTCCGAGCCAGGTTCCTAGCAAGCGTTCCGGGAAATATCGAGCGAGAAAGGGTGGGAAAGGAGGAAGCTCCCCCGTTCTGAGTGCTGCTCTTATCTGGAGGCCTTCACGCTCTCCAGGAAAGATTTCACCTCGCGCACCCTGTAGAAGAAAGGACCCTTGCCGCCCAGGTATCTGATCCTGCCGTCCTGGATGACGTACAGGCGCTCGTAGGACACCCCGTAGTCGATGTTGGCGTTATTGTCCATCGCGTCGGCCACCACGGGACAGCGGCCGAGGGGGGGCATGAGGCCGCGCAGTTGGGACGCGGCCACGCAGCGGTCCCCGAGCGCGAGGTGTCGGGGCACCTCGAGGCCGCCGGGCGCGGGCCACGCGTCCGACGGGTGGGCCTCCTCGATGTAGACCACCAGGAAGTCGGCCACGTCGGCGAAGTCGCGCACGAGGTCGCAGAATTCGCCGAGTTGCTCCACGAACGGGGGTCAGCTGGCCGAGCCGAAGTTCACCACAAGCGGGCGGTGAGCTCTGGCGAAGTCGAGGAGGCGGCACGCGGCGGTGCTTGACGTGGTTGAGGTGGTGGTGGTTGAGGTGGTGACGGTCGCTGCTGCTTCTGTCGTTGTCCGTGGTGTCGGCGTCTCGTGCGATGAGGAGGAGGAGGCGGCGCAGGAGAACGAAGGGGATGAGGACGAGTGTCCTCCGAGCGCCACCACGCTGGAGTTGGGGGCTTCCCCGCCGAGGCGGACCTTCTTGTGCGCGTCGAGCACGTAGCTCCGCCACACGGAGAGCATGCCCTGCGCCGTGAGCATGCGCGGGTGCTGCGCGTCCCCCTTGGCCGAGTGCGTGAGCGACGCCTGGAGCGCGCGGCGCAGGAACGAGACGGCGTCGTAGAGGGCCAGGAAGAGGCAGTTGGAGAAGACGCCCGGCAGGATGAGCAGCACGACGAGGAGGTTGACGTGCGGCATCGTGGACGATGATGGCGAGGCGGCGTCGATGGGCCGGCGGAGGAGGTCGATGAGGTTGGTGGTGGCGGTGGTTGAGGGGGTGGTGGAGGAGGAGGCGGTGGGGACCCCCCCTCTTAAGGAGACGCGTGGACGGAGGTTCCCATTCGGAGCGCGCTCGCCCCTTGCGGTGATGGGTTCTCGCCTTTTAAATGTGGAGGTGATGAACGGCGATGATGATGATGGTGGGGGAGGAGCAGGAGCCACGCTACGGGTGAGAGTAGCCGACCCCTCTCTCTGCGCTCGGACCTTGAGTTCTCATTGGTCCCGTGAGCGGCTCACGCACTCCGCACACGGGAATCTCGCGTGCCCAGTTTATACTGCGTCTGCCGCGAGCGACAGAGATCGGGAGGGGAGGGTGGAGGTATGGGGATAGGGGGGTGCGAGAAACAGAGAGAGAGAGAGAGGTAAATGTACAGGAGAGCGAGAGAGAGCGGTGGGGCGTAGAGGAAAGACAGGAGAGAGATAGGAGAGGTAGGAGAGAGATAAAAGATATAGTATAGAAGGGGGGGGGCAGAGAGATAAGGGAGAGGGGGAGCAGAGAGTGTAGATGGAGGGGGGGGGGGTAGACGGGAGAGCGATAGGAGAGGTCGGGGAGAGTAGAGATAGGGGAGAGAGAGGGGTGGGTCTGTGTCGGGCGGGGTGGCGGGCGAGAGGGGGCTCTGGTGCTTGTACTTGATCTTGGAAGAGGGTCGCAGAGCCGAAGAGATTACACAACGCCGGTAACAGTTGCGTAACGACTCGCTCGCCTGCAGTCGGTGCGCGGCAGAGGAAAACACACGAGACAGATAACGCGCATTCGGCGAAGGTCTGGGGGGGGGGGGTTGGGGAGGGAGGGTCCACACGTCCAGGTTTGCACCGAATCCGTGCAAAGGCAGCCAAGCAAGGGGTGTGCGTGCGTGAGGGTTTGTGCCTGCGTGTGGGGTTCTGCTCACAAACAGCACTCGCCCCAACAGTATGTTAAGGCTACACGGGGGATCTTTGTCTGTGTGTGTATGTGTCAGAGTGTATGTGTGCGTGCGCGAGTGGCAGTGCCTGCATCTCTTCCTTATTGAACTGGTCAAGGCCTGTCATACCACCAATAGGTGAGGGCTCTGGGTTATTATTGGTGCTTTCGGGGTATCTGACCCACTGCTCACAATCATTAAGGGCCGTCATGGTGGTGGGCAAGCTCGGGTAAAGCTGCCTGGCCGGGAGCCATTCCCTGTTCGTCTTGTGGCGCGACAGGGATGTCCTCTGGCCTCAAAAATATTTAACATCCTATTTGACCACGTGGTTCGAGACGCTTCCCATCGCTGCGCCGGAAGAATTTCCGTCTGGTACAGACACGAAGGGGAGGCTGATCTGGTCATTGCTGCTCATTCTGATGAGTTGGAGACTCTATTGCTGAACCAGGAGCGTGCTACTAAAAGATGAGGCATTACCATGACCCCCCCAACCCACCCACCCCAACAACAAAAGCACCTCCCCGAGTATATTTTTTATCCCATCAAATACTCCACCCTCCCCACTCCCCATGAGTGATTGGGGGAGGGAGGCAACTGTGAAGAGAGTGGAGAGGTTCCCGCACCCGGGCAGTGTCCTTATGACCAAACTCCGTTTTTTTTTAGCAGCGGAGGCGTCGCTTTAAGTCGGGCAACGCGCCGGTGGTCGGACAACCTCGACCTCCTGCATACCAGGCGAGGTAGTTAACACCTCGCCAAACGTTGCCAAGTGAGACCCTCCAGAGAGGGAGTTTTTTCACGCTCTCTTCCGGCACGGAGTCACGGCTTGACCGGGGTCACGCAGCTGTGAGCCAGGGCTATCGCGGGCAGTTCGCAGTGTTTACGGTGCCAGATGGCAACAGCTCAAAACAGAGGGTAATATTAGTACACATCATTTGTTGCCATCACAGAGACCCCCCCCCCCCCCGGTGACACGAAGAAACCCAAGTGACACTATGCCGTATGCTGAGCGAAATCATAACAATGCAGTTGGGAATTTGATTGCAGTACGGAACTTGACAGTAAATAGTTTGTGAAAGTTGGCGAGCTGCCGCGCAGTATTAACATGCAGGGTTTTGTTTATTGTTTCTCTCTTCCACCGTTTACAACTCAAAACAAATATCATTGCTTAATAGTGACCACGATCCATGGGGGAGGGGGGAAGGGTGGACCTGGAATTGCGACCGTTTCACGACTCGCGCTAGGAGGGCCTCCTCACAAGGCGGTCATTCCACTCCTACCTCGCCAGTTCTAATTCGTAAGCGAGTGTCCACGATACCGACCGAGACGCTCTCGGCGAGCCCTACGCATCGGCTTCTTTACGGCGCTCAAAGTCTCTATTTTAAACATTTTACGGCGTTTCCGAGTGCTCGCAGTAAACCGGGGGGTGGTGGTGGGGGGGGGAGACAAACACAAGCACTGTGAGACTCGCGATCTCTCAATCACTGAAGTGTGCCCATCGACAGAGGCTTCCTCAAAGAGCCTCGTTACATCACTGAGCTGCGTAAGTCGTCAAGGCGAGCGCCAATTGTTGCTTTCTCGCCGAGACGGTGCAAGAGGGACACGATTCTCGACAAACGCTGTCAATATATCTAAAAAATACTCGTAAAAAAATTGGTTCATTGTTGCGAATGAGTTAACGGAGCAACTTTAACGCGTTGTGTAATTTGTGCAGGTATTTACCTGTTCATAGCACGGTTGGCTACGTACGGTCCGAAAGAAGTTCAACATACATGCGTGTATAGAAAAGAGGCGCGTACATTCGTGATGGACTGGACTTACCAGAGCGCGCGATTATGAATGTTCAGATTTATAGAGGTGGTACAGCCGCTGGCACAGTGTCCTATAAACCCGGCGACTTGAGATGAGTTTGATCCCCAACCACGGTTGACAACCAGTGGCGAGTCGCATCTGGATACTCCTGGGCCAGTGAAATATGGCCAAGCTAACCCCCCCCCCCCCTCCCTCGCCACTGTTGAAATGGCAAGAGAAGACCTTCAAGTTTATTTTATTGAACGAGGTGAGAACTCGAGGGAGCAGAAGGTGGCCTCGCTTGCAAGAATGACCCCCATCCGTACGGTGCAATAGGAAGTTAAACACACACACACGTGCATCGAACACAACGCAATTGTCAGGGAGGGGCTCATTGTGAAGCTGTACCGTGACCCAGTGACACATTCCTGATGTAACACACACACAGGGGGTATTGTCATCATGTCAAGTAATACAAATGGATGTTTACATCTTGCAATGAAAAGCAAAAACTGCGCGGGTTGGAATTTGAACGTTGTTTGAACGTTGGTAAGCTAAACCTGGCGGAACAGTCAACTCGCGCAGTTCCCTTCCTTTAAAATCGACGATTTATATTCTCAGTTTTTTTCTTCTTTAAAAGATGATCATCGGCCACGTGTGACCACACGTGGCCGATGGTGGTGGGTTAATCACGCGGCGGTGCAGCCGGAAGGATGCGAGTAAGACAGAATCTGCAGAGCAGTTGCAGTCAGTGGGTTTGGTCGAGCGATCTGCGCGGTGTCCTATGGTGTTCTACGGCCTCACGTGTAGCAGCCGCGCGTAGCGTTTGTTGATTGGCGGCTTGCGAGGATCGGCGTTGTCGTCGCAATGCAGTGTGCGAGAATCCCACTTGTTGCACGATAATGTATACCTTGGTTGTGCTGCACTCATTTGGTTGAAAATACATGGCTTTCCTTCCACCATTGTTGGTTTAAATGAGATTATATTGTCCTCACCACGACCGTACAGGACTTGTCCCACGTGAGCCGGGGCAGCAGTAGGCTACGATGCTTGTACCGTACCGATTCCTTACGAGAAGGACTGCAAAGAATCCCAGTGCAACCCTTCGTGTTAAGAGAACGGCACACTGAAGTGGAACGCCAGAGCTAAACGAAGCTCTTTTTTTTACCAGGTAAGGCCCACTGAGCTTTATAGCGCTTTTTTTCAGAAGCGACCTGGCTATCACAGATTATAGCTCAACGAAAGTAGGTTTTCATAATGTGGAAACTTAAGTCAGCCTAAAATTCGAAACGCGTGTTTCTAAATATTGGAGGGAAAAACCGAAGGACCCGGAGAAAAATCCACGCGACCACGGGGAGAGAGACACGCAAACTCCAAATATACAGGCGTCAAGGGTCGGGATCGAACCCACGACCTGCTGCATACCCGGCGAGGCTACCGCTGAGATCCCTTCAGGAGACCTCAGCACTTTCCCACCCACCCTGCCACACCGAGAGTAACGTTTGTCGAGCGACACTCGACCCGATGTTTGTTTTGTGTTAATTCGAAGAGCTGACATTCAAGCCACACCAAGTGCAGAGCCAAAGTGAATGCGATTGGGCTGAGACCATCGGCTCTGTCTCTGCACTCGAGAGAACACAGTTTAATCGCAGGTGGCTGAAAAACACTGGATTCCAACGCAGGATCTCAGTGTTACCAGCTTAGCGCGCTGACCACTGGACCATCTGTCCAGCTGCGATGGACAGACGGGGGGAAGGCAGAGAACTACACTTGAGTAAAAAAATGCTGGAATGCATTTTTTTTTTTAGCTATCACAGGGTTCACACTGCCCGGCCATAAACTCGTACGGACCAAAAGGTCGAGTGGATGTCAAAGTTTTAAAGTTACAACATTTAACATTTTGCGTTCTTATTTATTTTAGATGTTGAGTTTTTTTTTTACTAAAGAGGTAGTCAAAAAGTAACTTACATCTTTGCATATGTATTTATTTTTCAAATGTTTGATTAACGTCAAGTAAAACATTGTTAATATTTGACGTCAAGGTTGAACAATAACAGAACTGGTGCGGTGCACATTTATAATTGACGGATAGACTTTTTTTTGGACCATTTACCTCGTTGCGCGAGAACTCATTACACGAGTTAAATGAGGAGCAATTACAAAAAAAAATAAAAAAATAAGATACAGAGCACACACGTCTCTCACGTGTTGTGTCAGAATTCAAGCCAGCGATTTCCTTCTCAAATCAGCATCGAGGCGATTCTCGGCACCTCTTCATAGCCCCCGAGTCAGCGGTGGAAAATCCGCATGTTTATGGCAGGGGTTGAGCTCTATATCCAGAGGGCAACCACTATTCACTTCGTCACAAAATGGTACGAATTTTATCCACGGTGCAGAGATGATGGGCTGTGTTAAATCCCCACTAGGATTTTGAATTCGCAACCCTCTGATTTGCGAGCTGCGAGCTCTATCGCCGATCCGATTACAAATCCCAATGCACGGACGTGTATGTGGGTTCTCAGTAGGGCTACATTTCTCATTGCAATAGATATAAGAATACTGGACGTGGTGTGCCGGATCTGGAGATATTTTCCAGGTCGCAGACCTGCATGAAACCAAGCAAGCTCTG